ACAATAGACCTTTAACAAGCAAAAGATCATAGAAACAAAAAAGTACATCAAGCAATAAATTTACGAGACAATAAAACAATTGAGATGAAAAAGGTGCTCTTTTGTGCTTATAACATATAAAAACTGTAAAATAAAAAATGTGATGACCTCGAATTACAGAAATAAAAGTCTAGAGAGCGACCAAGAACCTTTATAGGTAATTGCAGCTGGTTTATTTAACATTTTCTTTAGTGTGTGGGGAGACGCTGATATGTGGAGTTTAAAACATTCTTAATTTTGTAGTGGATGACGTTTCAGCTGGTAGAATAAATTTGTGGTGCTGCTACCTTTTGCGGCAATATTTCACTCTAATATTTCCATGGCAATTTATACCCGATGATTGCGATGAAGTCATTTTTAACCATCATACGTGGAAAAACTTGCGATACATTGAGTATATTCGATATATCACCCACCCCTCATTAAAGCATGGAGCATTTTGAGATATGTTTTGATCCATTTCCTCAGAGGCCGCTTTCGAAAATCAAAACATGTACTGAATGAGTGAGCTTGTTAGATGAAAGTTAGACTGACTCAATGCTCCACCCTGTGGTGGAAACCGGTATTACAGTAACTACAGTAACTGACCCCAATGGTTCTTTCTTCATATTCTGTTTTAGTTACATTTACAAGGTTTTCAACTCCTTTTAAAAACTGGAATTTTAATTCCTTTACTCTGATTTTATTTATGATAGGTCCTGACATCAGCTGGATGAATGCTTTCAGATGTAATGCAGATCGAAGCACCTTTATTTCCAGGTGTTACTCAGTCCAATCCAACAGGTATGATAATGCCGAAATGCCAAGTGTTTGGTCTACAGAGGGTCTTTGATTTTGAAAAAAAATAAACGGGATTTTCTGTGCTCTTCCCGCCCTCCTCATCTACTTGGTGCAGATCAATGCAATTTACATTAACATATGGACCATTTTCACCCCAGAGCACCGAGAATCACCAGCTTTGGTCTGAGCATATGTGATCAGATTCCTTTATTTGGAAAAAATGAACACAGAATCAGGCTGCGTGGTTTGTGTTAACCTGATGCGGAAGCATCTTTAATTTCTGACTTAACCTGCTAAGATTTCTGGGCTGCTTGGAGCATCAAACATACATCATACCCGCGGAGCAGTGAACAGTTTAATGTATATTTAATGTATATTTTTAAGATTAATATTGTCATGGTGATGATTCTGAAATACTTTAATGCACATACCTGCACACTGCACAGTCACCTTAATCTCAGCTGTCCTCTGACTGGCTGTTTGCACAATGGAGGTATTTCCTGTGTGTAGAAGAACCAGAGGAGAAACAACACACAACAATACACTGGATAATAATATAACAATATGTACATGCAAATCCTAAAATCTGTCCCACCAGCAAAACAAACACATTTTAATTCCCATCTATAAGATGACTGACTCATGAGTGACCATAAAAATCCACATAGGAAAGCTTAAAATAATCTATAGAATGTTTTTCCATGAAAAGCAAAGACATGAAAACATGTTTTAACCTGATGGAGACCTCCTGTTCTTTAAGGTGGGCCCCTTTTAAAGAATTTCAAACTCCCCACGCAGCTCAAAGCTGCTCTGCTCACAACAAAGCTGTTGGACCTTTTTAAAAGTGACGCAGCAGCATTGAAAAAATCCAAGTATGCAAATATCGCTGAATCGTCATTGTCACGCTCACGATTTCCACATAGATTTGTGCGTGTGCACTGTTGGTAAATGAGGACCACAGCCTGTGAACACACCTCACCGTGCTATCAGCTCTGTTACACAAAGCGGAAGAAGCATGAACATGCTCCAGAAACAGCGCCGTCTCTTCAGAACCAAAGAAGCGTTTAAAGTGGACTGAAAAGT